GGATCGTGTCAGGGTCGTGTCAAATAATGTACGGGTCAAAAACGTGTCGTGTCGTGTCGTGTCGGGTTGACCCGTATTGCCACCCCTATTAATACAATGAAATAGATTAATTACTCTACATACGTTGAATAAAAAAGAAACCTTGTAAGTGGCAATTTCAGTCTTGTATATGCAAAATGGTTAAATTGTGTAAATACAAATTCTATAAATATTCACAACCATGATCTAATTTGGAGCAGAAACTGGTTAAGAACCTTAGCCTCTTTTTATGGATAATAAATTAATTAATCTTTTGTGAATAATAAAATCAACATTTATCCAATCTGACTAGATTATTTATATAAAATATTTAAAGTCTGACATAATCTGTTAGTCTATTTAAATTTATTACATCTTTAAAACCTATTAAAAACTAAAAATTCAAAATTCAAAAATAAATAAATAATATAATAATATTATTTTATTACTTAAAATTATATGAATAATTCTTTTTGACTTTATTTAAAATAAATAATATCATATAAACCTACTGTAAATTTAGGGGTCGAGTCTTGAAAAAAGAAAATATTAACCTACGTTTTAAATAATTTTTTTCTAAAATTTAAACATATTCTATTTTACCAAATATGATACACTATACCAGACCGAGCAATAAGTTTAAGATAGAGCACTTAGACTATTTACACCCATGTCCTAAAGGCCTAAACTGTGCCGTTTACACTCACGTGACGTGATGCTCAAATTGCATAACAATTTTGCTTTCTACGCAATGTTACATGAGATTAATGTTGAGTTATTTTTTCTGCGGCAGATAAATTATTTATTTTAAATTCAAAATGTCGAAATTTTAAAGTAAAAATTAAGGTATTTTTATAATTATAATTTTTTTAATATTATAATAATCTTTATCATTATAAATTTTTAATCTTTCAACTCAAAACGGCCTTCATTTTGTAAGTAAATGTAGATAATTTATCTGCATTCACCGCAGAAATATTAAAACCATTAATACTTTTCATGTTATATAAGATAATTTTATATCATACACACAAATAAAAGTATATGTAACCCATGTGTTCTGTCTTAGAGACAGAGATGTCTAACCCAATGGACTAGTTGTTACTTTTGGATCTAGATGCCCTCTTTAAGGTATCTATGAGTTAGATGTCATTGAGTTAAGTAGATCACTGTGCACAGAAGAACAATAAACGATTTTGCCAAAAAGGTGTGTGCAGTGACAACACAACAGTAAGAGATAGCGTAATGTACTTGTAGGCTTTACCTTTTATTTAAAAAGTTTACCTGTGACTATTAGATTTTGGACCTTCAATGCTTCTGATAAATGCCCATGCCCATACATTATGCTCTCGTATTAGGATTGATATCCTTGATGTATATATTTTCTTAACTATATCTGATTTATATTTGAATTGTCCCTTATTGGACTTATCAATAGATGAGTCTCATATATGAGTCCATAACATCATGTTATCTTTTTCTTTCTTTTTTCTTCACATGGTCTCACATGGATCTCACACACTTTTATATGTATATAGATTATAGAAGATAAAATTATCTCCAACATCAGAAACAATAATAATATATTATATACTCAAAAATATTGAACTTCACCGTCCAAAACCAGGAATGTAGGAACCGGACCATTGTTCTATTTCCCAATTTGATCTATTTCAAAGTGGATTTGTTCGTATTTCACTTTTATATATAGGGTTTTATAAGAGTTATGTTGTAGGAAAAGTGACTGTGTTATGTTATAGAGATTCGTTTTGTGTGCCGAAGTTTTTTTTTTTTTTTTGCTGCGGGCCCCACAAAATGTTGTGTGTGTAGGAAAATTTTTGTGGTCATGTTAAATGATAGATGATAAACCCTTATATATATTATATGTTCACAAGCTTGATTTCCCATGCTGCTAAGTTGTGAAGTACAACTTGTGCCCCTAAAATGATGAACGGTTGTGCGGTGCCAAGGATACCAAACAATAAAAATAAAATGAAATGATCATAATATCTAATAAGATATTGATGATAGTTGAACCTGTATGATTTTTTTTTTTCTTTTCTTATTTTAATTCATCTTTCTACTGAGGGCGTGACCAACACTCCGTACACTCAGAACCTTTTGGCTGCTTGTGTTGTGCTTGCTTTTTAAAAGGCTTTCCAATCAGCATTATTATGGAGGTCCCTTGAATTATAGAATCACATTACTTATTACTCCCTAGTCCCTATAACTTAAATGAGTAGTATTTGAGTTATTCATAGTTTTTCATAAAAACCATGTAGCTACTGAGTTCAAATTTTTGATTTGGCTAATCACATTGACTAATTTTTTTTTGTCTTCACACTTTACTTACAGCTTGGTCCTTGTTTTAAATCCGCCCTAACTTATACATTAATTTTATGAAAATGTATGGAAAAAATTTCATAACAAAAATAGTTAGAAACATTGTATAGTATCTATAAATATTTATCCATTCTATGCGTAATAAGAATATGAAAAAGAAATAATCGCAGAAATTTAGAAATTTCTATTGTAATTTTTTTTAAGAAAATTGAAAGTAAAATAAAATAGTTTCTCTTCAACCAAAAGTATATTCTCTGATTTTCCTCTAAAGTTACGAATCTTGCGAACAAATCACGAGCCATATCAACTAAAAATATGATAACATTATTGAATAAGATCAGCACACGGACGACAAAGCTAAAGAAAATCATCATCATTGAATTTTGTTTCATAGTTTGTATAAATTAACTAATAAATATAATAATATTCAAGATCGTAGAAAAGGGAAAACAGTGATCACGAGAATCCTCAAGCATGAAAAACATATTTTGACTAAGATTGTGAGTGGCCCATGTATTTTAAGAGCGTATGACTTGCTTTAAGTTGTATGATGAATTATGGACTAGTATGTGGCCCGAGTTTAGATTCAAATATTCCTTACCCTTTAGGGAGCGATTTGATTTCATGCTTTTTGAGATTTTCCTAAGTAAATAAAGTTTGATTTTTAGAAAACCAATGTTTGGTTCAACAGCTTTTGACCAAAACTCATCTATGTGAAATGCATGGCTTTTTGAAAAAGATAGTAATTTGCACTGTTTAGAAACCCGATTTGAGGGTAATTTTTTAAGAAAACCCGGGTAAAGCACTATTGATACACTTTTTGTCATATATTTCTCTGGTAAAATTTTGTCAAACCAAACTATTTTTTTTTAACTTCCCCATCTATCCAACTTTTCCTATGAATACCTAGTAATTACATTTCTCTAGTATTCTTAAAATTTATCTTGAACCAAACACCTTTGTTGCGTGAATGTTATTCTTCCTTTCTCATGTAAACTGTTGTTATTTAATTAATTGCAGTTAGGTAGGGCTATGCCATTTTTTTGGCTAATTTATCACCTCAACTAAGTTAACCATAAGTTATTATGGTCAAAATTAAAATATTTTTAAATATATATTTAACATTAAGACATAATTGAACCTACTGTGGGAGTGTAGATCTTGGATGGTCCAGGTTCTTAAGATGGTGACATCATAAGCTATGCACAGTGCAGCTTAGCATGAATTACAGTTTTCAAATAAATGGGTCACATTAGATGCCAAGGCTAGTTTTTAGAGGAGAAAATTAAATAAATGACATCTATTCATTTGTTTGATTTTCTAAATCAATGCTAGTTTTTTGCAAAGAGAAAATGAGGCAATGAAAATTGTAAAATGCATATGGGGGGTTTTGTTTATGTGTCTATGTTTACATTAAAGCAAGCAAGTTTTTTTTTTTTGGAAACCAAATAAAAATTCTAATGGGATGCCGGTGCGAATCATTAAATACATTTTTATATCCAAATTGAAATTACACGTCCAACCCCACCACCACCATTTATATATTAAATTACATAATAAAGAAATTAAAATTAAAAAAATATATTGTATAATATATTATTTATAATTTAATATAAATTTAATTAAATCAGTTGAACCATAATCAAATAATTCAATACTTCAACGGAACAAGTCGGGCGAGTTTTAAAATATGAAATTAAAAAAATATTTGCTTTGTGAGTAAGATTTTTCCTCCGGCATTTCACGTGTCCTCCTGGTTAAATTATTGGCAACGTATTGTAGATTGCATCATGAACCTTACATTAATAGGCAAATGTCGAAAACATTCACATCGGAGCATGTTACGCTTACAAGGACAAGATCATCCATCCAGTTAGAACTTAATGTGGCACACAGCTATTACTCCCAACCTTATGGTTTCCAGTTAAGCACGTGTTTTGCATTAATTTATTTTTAAAAAGATTCAATTAACAATTTTTAAGTTCTTTTTAACATTCTTTTAAAATTACAAACCCACAACCATCAAAACAAAGTTGTTAAATACAAATTAATTTGTCGTGCCGGTGTTATAATCCAAGGGGCGCTTTAGTAATTCCAAATCTTACTTTTCAAAAGGGTTTGCTTCCAATAATAATAATTTTTTTTTTTTTTGAAGATAATAAATTTTCTTTCATATAGCAGTAAATTCATAATTTTGTTTAGAAAGTAACTTAACATAAGGGTAACCTTTTCTGAAATCCCTCGAGTAGTGTTTGGTTCGGGAGAAATTTTTTTTTATTAAAAAAATATAATTGATAGGAAAATGTAAAAAAAATTATTTGGTTGACCCAAATATTGTCCGAGAAATTTATTTAAATATGCAAAATCTATGTTCGGGAGAAACTTTGCACCTGTTTTTTCACTTCCCCAATTATCTCAAAATACCACATCTCAAGTGGTATTCTGTAACACTGAATCTCATCCAAAAATCAACACAAAAGTCATTTTCCCATATATCCTATTTACCTGATATTTTTTAAAACAACCTAAATTTCTAATATCCAATCTCAAAATAAACCTTCAACCAAACGCTACCTCAATTCATTATATATTCTCTGCTACCCACTGTGAACTCTTGTGTTCTTTTTCTCTCTCACTTCACTAAATCACTCTCTATCTCTCTCTCTAAAATGGAAGTGAAAGCAAAAAATGCATCTCTCTCCATTCTTCTGGTACTGGCCGTGTTCCTCTTTGTCTCCGTCGCTTCCTCAGACCCATTTCAGTTCCAAACCCAAACTCTAGTCCTCAACTCTCTTCCTAAACCATCCACACTCTCATGGCCCGAATCCGAGACAACAGAGTCCGACCCGGAATTCTCCACCACCTTCTCCGTTTCCCTCCACCACATAGACTCTCTCTCCTTCAACAAAACCCCATCACAGCTCTTCCATCTCAGGCTCCAAAGAGACGCCGCCAGGGTTAAAACCTTCACTTCCATGGCCGCAGCAGCCACCAACAAGACCCGCCGCGGATACGGGTCAGGACCCGGGTCGGGTTTCAGCAGCTCCGTCATATCGGGTCTCGCCCAGGGAAGCGGCGAGTACTTCACGCGCCTTGGCGTGGGCACGCCCCCGAAGTACGTGTACATGGTTCTCGACACCGGAAGCGACGTCGTCTGGCTCCAGTGTGCACCGTGCCGGAAATGCTACTCTCAGGCCGACCCGGTTTTCGACCCGACCAAATCCCGAACCTTCGCCGGAATCCCCTGCGGATCCCCGCTCTGCCGCCGGCTGGACTCTCCGTCGTGTGGCAAGAGCAAGGTCTGCCAGTACGAGGTTTCCTACGGCGACGGTTCGTTCACCACCGGCGACTTCTCAACCGAGACGCTGACGTTTCGCAGAACCGGAGTGGCGCGCGTGGCCCTCGGATGCGGACACGACAACGAGGGTCTCTTTGTCGGAGCAGCCGGTCTGTTGGGTCTGGGACGTGGGGGTTTGTCGTTTCCGACACAAACCGGAAATCAGTTCAACCAGAAATTCTCTTACTGTTTAGCGGACCGGTCCGCTTCAGCCAAACCGTCTTCCGTTGTTTTTGGCGATTCGGCCGTTTCGCGAGCCGCCCGGTTCACTCCTTTAATAAAAAACCCTAAGCTCGACACATTCTACTACGTTGAACTCCTCGGCGTTAGCGTGGGTGGCTCTCCGGTTCGTGGCATCTCAGCTTCGCTCTTCCGGCTCGACCAGACCGGAAACGGTGGAGTCATTATCGACTCGGGTACGTCCGTGACCCGGCTCACACGCCCAGCTTACGTTGCTTTAAGAAACGCTTTCCGGGTCGGGGCGGCCCAACTGAAACGGGCACCCGAGTTCTCCCTGTTCGATACTTGCTACGACCTTTCGGGTCTGACGCAGGTGAAGGTTCCCACGGTGGTTCTGCACTTCCGAGGTGCTGATGTGTCATTGCCGGCGACGAACTACCTGATTCCGGTAGACACTAGCGGCAGCTTCTGCTTCGCGTTCGCAGGAACTATGAGTGGGTTGTCCATCATCGGTAATATCCAGCAGCAAGGGATCCGGGTCGTGTATGACTTGGCGGGTTCTCGGGTCGGATTTGCCCCGCGAGGGTGCGCTTGAATGTAATGTGAGTTGGGGACAAGACAACTCTTTCCCATGTTTTTTTTTTTCTCTCTCTTTATTATTGGCTTCTTTTGATTTACGTGAAATTAATAGAGATTATTGAAGGAAGGTTAAGATCTTAATCTTAAATGTGTTTGTTGTATTACTTAATGAAATGCTTGTATTACTATTCCAATATAAGGTAATTTGCTGATTTAATATCATAATTTGTTCTAGTAAGTTAATTATCATCATGCCTTTTTTAAGTGATATTGCTGTTCTTACCTATGTTGTGCTTTCTGTAAATATCAATCTATGTAATATATTAATAATATGGGAAATCATTATCTCCGTCTACACGAGATAAGAATTTTTTCCTACACAAATTTATTTTTCGTGCCAATTAATTTTTCTTTTCTTTTTTAATTTAAAATGTGGGACCCACATTTAACTTATCTCTACTTTTTTTCTCTCCTACTATTCTACAACATAAGAAAATATGCACCCTAATAATATTATATTGTTATATGAAGTAGGTTTTGTTTTTGTTTTTTGGGGTTCAACTATGCATCCAAAGATATTTCCATTTCACTAGTACATGCTTTCTCCTGATTATGTTGCGTTGATTAAGAGTTAAGACTTATATGAGTCAACTTTTTTTTTTTGGGTTTATATACTATACATGGAAGACTTCGTTATGCATATTTAGAAAGAGAAAGATAATAATTACTCATAACGGTATGTTGGTTATGAAGTAAAAAATGAAAGCGAAAAATTTATGAATATGTATTTGTATTGAATTTTTTTTTTCATGAATTTTTAGCCTCCTTTTTTACCCTATGCCGAACTAATCCTATGTTCATGGTTGCTGAAAAAAAATTGTAACATTTGTCATTGGAGTGTTGTTTTTAGGTCATGATCATAGTGTACTATGAATGGAATATGTGTACAACAATAACTCAAATATAAAATTATTTTAAAATTTAGTACGACAGTTGTAATGTTTATTCAATTCATTTTTCATAATAATTATGTACGTAAGTAAACTTCAGAAATGTGAAACCCTTATAAGGGAAAAAAGTGTAAAAAATAATGGATGGAATATTATCATCGAAACGAAGGGAAGTGATGTCAACTTCAAGATGAACACGCGTGAATCGCCAATCACGCAGGTCATTTCATCACATGCATTTTCATACCGCCGTATAGCCATGGCATCTCTTGTACTTTATTCTTCTATATTTTGTTTTTCCTTTTTATAAGCTTTCATCTTTCCCAGAATTCTATTTCATATCCACAACTATTTCCCATTATTAAAGAATTGAAAAAACGTTATCTCGATTTTCGACTAGGCAGAGGTGAAATATCCTTTTCTATCAACCAATTGTGTAATAATTCTAGAAATGGAAAAAACTACGAAAGCAAAAGTTTAGACATCATATAATAAATTTCTACCTAGGTAATTATTAATTAGTATGGAATTTATCATTGATATGGTAATATAGTTAAAGGGACATACTTTGGTGCCATAGTTCAAATAGTTCCCAAGTGCCCATGTTGCAAATAGTAGTAACAGTAAGTCAAAATACGGGAGGTTGAAGCAGCACATGCATAAAGATTAAAGACAAATTGAGATAAATTGTCAAATGGTTAGTAGGAGGTAGCTGAGGAAAGAGCAAAGCAATTGTCTCTTTTCCATATTGTTGGACTCTAGCTGTTAAAGAGACTTAAAGTGAAGAAAGCACTCACTTAGTGCAGGAGTGCACATATCCTTTTAAAAAAATCACAACAACGAACGAAAAGTATGTAATCTTGTTAGCACATATCCTTTTAAAAAAATCACAACAACGAACGAAAAGCATGTAATCTTGTTAGGGATATATAAAATTATTAATGTAGTTTCACTCAATAGTTTAAATTTCTGGATTAAATTAATTTGTTACATGTATCAGAGCTTCCGTGTTCCATTAACTAATATAGCTTCACCTAACAACTTAATTTTTTGGATTAAATTAGTTCTTTACAAATCTAATACATGTAATTATATTTTTTTCCCCTTTTTTCTTTTTGACAAAATACTTGTACTGGTGTTTTCCAAAAGCAACTTGAAAATGTGAAGTTTCTTTGTTTTTACAAAGAAAGGATGAACATTCGTACAAATTTCTTAATGTTGCATCTAATATTTAAAGAAAAAGTGTTCCCGCAAGTTCATCCTACATGCATGTGAATAGATAGAATTAAGATTTTAATTATGGAGCAAGTTAGACAGAAGTCTCAGATTTGCATTAAAATACGCGCTGTATTGAAGAATAATGGATGCAAAGGATCATGCAATTGCATACTTTCTTTTTGTCCATAAATATTGATATCCTATTTTTTTTTTATTGATATCCTAATTTAATTCCCATGACTCTATGCAAGACAACAAATAATTAAGCAATATTGTTATGTTGTGCAAAACAAATAACTGGATTTCCGTATATATAGTGCAAATAACCTCAAAATTTCTTGTCACAATTCACAAGAAACTCTTATTCATATCATACCACCCTGCAAGAAGCCAGGACTTTGTAAAATTATATGCAATGACGGTGCAGAATGCTTCAATTTAGCACAGCTACGCAATTTGCAGAATTGTTCTCATTGGAAATCGATGCTATGCTATCATGTTACGTCACCTTATCTGAGATTATCTCAATTATGGAATTGAAAGATAAAAAAATAAATAAAGAAACGATGAGTGTTAATTTGTCTATGAAAAATTGAAATCATCTTACATGATTTAATTATATAAAATGATATATGAGAGAAAGGATATATATATATATATATATATATATATATATATATATATATATATAGTTATATTACTCTAAGTAATAGGAGATATATTATCTCATGTTGTAGATATAATCATGTAGTGGGTCCCATTATTTATTAAAAAAGAAAAAAGAGAAGCACAAAAATCAATGGGTGTGTAGGAAGTTGTATTATCTCATGCAACATGAGAGTAATATAACCCATATATATATATATGAGAAATAATTATCTCATGCAACAGAGACAATAGTGAGGTCCATTTTTTTTCTTTTTTTTAAAAACTAATTGACCTCACTATCTTGTCTCTGTTGCATGAGATAATTATCTGATGCAACATGAGATTAATAGATCCTTATATATATATATATATATATATATAATATATATATATATATATATGTGAGACTTTATTTTCAAAATTAATTTAAGGAAAAAATATTTCTTATATTGCATGAGAAGTGTTTTTTCATATTATGATTCTTTAATTTATGCGTAAAGTTTTTTTTTTAATAAATATGAAATTCACTGCTAATTGAATCATATTATAAAAATAAAATTTTCATGCCTAATTTAATTACATTCAAATGGATAAGATAAAGAGAAATTCTTTTCTTATGTTGTAGAAAAAAAGTTATCTCATGTCGTAGAAATAAAATTATGAGTGAGACTCACAAGTAAGAGGAGAAAAAAATAATAGTGGGATATAACTTTTTTATGTGTGTAAAAAAATTATTTATCTCATATAAAATGAGATAAATATAATCGTAAGATAAAATAACCGGTGAAAAAGATGTAAAATATGCATATGATAAAAAAGTCAGAGCCTGCAAGATGGACTCCTTAGGTTACCTAGGATTGGGAGCCACTGCATTAAAAGACAAAAATAAATTCATTTCATAATCTATCGGAATTGAATTATTCTAGGATGCAGATACCGCAGATCTAAATGAGAAGATTGTGTTGTACATTTGATTTTGTAGTTAATTAAAGGGACATTTGGTTAAGGAGAAATTTTTTGAATACTAAGAAAATGTAATTATTAGGAAAATAATTAAAAAGTGAGTTTGGTAGGAAAATATAAAAAATGTTGTTTGGTTGACCGAAATATTACCAGAGAAATTTATTTAAATTTGCAAAATCTATGTTCAGGAGAAATTTCGCACCAATTTTTTCACTTTTCCATTTATCTCAAAATACCATATCTCAAGTGGTATTCTGTAACAGTGAATTTCATCCAAAAATCAACACAAAAGTCATTTCCCCATCTATCCTATTTGCCTAGTATTTTTTTCAAAAACCTGAACCAAACGTGGTATTTTTCAATATTCACTTACATTTTCCCATCAATCCCAGAATAAATCTTCTACCAAACACTACCAAAGAGGATATTTGGTAGAATGATTGAGAAAGTTGAGATGGATTACTAAGAAGTTTTAAAAAATTTGCTCATCATTTGAATTTACATAACAATCTCAGTTTGTGTGTAAAATTAAATTTTTTTATCATTTTAAAATATCACATGGAGGATAGTATTCTCATTAGCACATCAAACCAAGAAAGTAGAAAAAAAAATAATGGACACAAATATTCTTTCTCAAAAAATGTGTCAAAAGAAAACTAGAGAGTCTTCTTTGTATTTAGTCAAGGGTTAATTTGGTAATTTCTTCAATATTTTACTTTCAATCAAATATAGACTCAGAAAATTTAACTCAATTTTTCCCGTAATATTATGGCCTACTAAACAATTTTTTTTTCTACTAAACTCATTTTCCCACTATATCTTAGTAATTGTATTTTTCTAGCAATTTTTTTTTCTTTACCAAACACCTTTTGGATAAGTTAACTTTAGTATGTCGTTTAAAATTTTTAAGCTAGGAGCCTCGGATTGTCCAATTTGGATAAACACTTAAAGAGAAATTTTTAAAAAGTATTTTATGGCCTTAGGAATTTCAAAGTATCCTTATTCTTATTCATATATCATCTAAAATAAGCCCAAATAATCAAATGTATAATAGGAGATTTAGTGCTTGTTTGATAGGTTTTTTTTAGCTTTTCTTCTCTTTTTAACAAAAGTTTTTATAATAAAAAATCTTTTTTTATAAGAAAAAAAGTCAAAATTTCTAAGAGAAATCTTTTTTAAGTTGTATTAACTTCTTTTTTTAAAATGAACATTTTTTAAGTAATTTTCAAACTAAAATTTTTATATAATTTTCAAACATCCTGTAACTTTAAAGTAATTTTTATCTGTTTACCAAAAAAGGAAGAAGTAATTTTTAGCTTAAAATAATTATTTTATGACCTAAGGACTTTCAAAATATTCTTATTCTTATTCATATGTAATCTGAAATAAGCCCAAATATCAACAACTCAAGTTTTGGTCA